TTTCACCTGAGCAGTTTATATGTATATAGCTTTGTTTATTGCTGGCTGGCATAGGGTTGGAATTTTAATGCCCTCATCAGAAAGCTGGCGACACATCTTTGCTGCTTCGTTGAAAGACAGCTTCGAAATTGTAACAAGGCCATCCCGAAAAGTGTCTTTGCTATTTTCGGATGAGTAAGAGTCCATGCTATTCTCAAACCAACCAGGTGGCGTTAACCTCGTAACTGTGGATAGTGTTCCTTTGATTACCTTTTTTCGCCAAAATGGGGGGATGGCCTTTGCACTAGCAGGTTTACCAGTGGACTAACCAACCTGGCTTTTGCTCTCAATTTGCAGTTTATATAGATTCTCATCCTCTTTGCACACCCATTCACCTTTAAACTTAGTGATGTCAAACAGTTCATTTAATGCAATAAAAATTTGTTTCTTTCTGCTGCGCTTGAATTCTTTTAAAAGTCTTGTTAATTTTTCACAAATAACCTAATTAGATACATGTGGAAAGTTTAATGTTTTACTCCATAGGGCTTTAAACTCAATAATAGTTACACTGATTCCCTTTCTACGTTCTTTAGTGGTGCATTCAAAATGTTTGAAGCATCCAATGATTTGATTTTTAGAAGTATGCAACTCCTTTCATTAAGGATGCTTTGTATATTACCAATTAGGTTTTTCTTGATGGCGCTTGAAACTGTATTAAATTCTTTTTCCAAGTTTTCTTATTCTTATCGGTGTTAAAAGAGCTCTTTTTAAACGACATGTTATATTCTTTTTAGCAACTAAAATAAAAGAGGCCTAAACTTTATTATTAAACACGTAAAAAATTAAAGAAACTGTTACTGAATTTTTATATACTTTATTTAAAAACAAGCAAATCAAAGTTATAAAAAATAAAAAAAAGTAAGACTGCAATAAAGTATTATATGCGCAGTTATATGGTAGTATATAAAGCACAAATATCAAAGTAGCTTACCAAAAAATACATGGTCTTTTTTAATTCGCCTATAACAATGTTGACACAAAATTAAGCTAATTTTAACTTAACTATCCGCTTTGAACACCTCAATTATATATCAGTTTATACCACACTACAAAATAGTTAAAGAAAATTTTACAACTCTACAGAGGCTTCTCGAACACACAAGTTTCTTCGATACTCTGAAAAATTTTAAACAATTTTCAAAGTGCAGTATTATGAAACTTTTTATGTTTTTTTTTTTTTGTAAGTTGGTTTAATGACTTATTATATATAAATATTGTTGAAACAAATATATATTTCGCTAAAATAGCCTAAATTTCATTTAAATTTGTTTATGCGTGAACTTTTTCAATATTTTATTGGAATAAAGGTCATTTTAGTTATCAATAAGCAAAATTTCATCCATTCATGCTACAGGAAAGTTCATCCAATTATGCTACATGAAATGATTTTTGAGAAAAAAAATAAAAAAACCAATACCCAAGTCATTGCAGCTGAGTGATTTTATTTAGAAACTTTTTATATATGAATTTATAGTAAATTTTATTTTATCTATTGTAAATATGTTTCTAATTTATTTCTTATTTTATTGCTTAACTACATTTTGTTGATATTATTGTTTTTTTATTATCTTCTAATTTAATGCTAATTTTATTCAGAATGATTACCACCAGAGCCGTCTCGAGGGGAGGGCGTAGGGTTTTTTTTTGCCCCCCTACGAATTTTTTTGGACGGCAAATTGGAACTGGAGTCGGCAAAATTGGATCTATAGTTGGCAGTCGGTAAATATTGGAAAACGAGGACCTTTTTTTTTATCTGGCAAGAAACAGACACATCACCCCTCCCCAATCCTTTAAAATCTCTTCGGGACAGCCTTGGTTACTTTATCTACTGGCTGCTGTATAAGTATCTACATTTTTTACTTAGAATTTGGTATAGAAACATTAAAATCAACTTTTCCTATCACAAAGTTTCACAAAATCTTTCTATTTGTGACTAATTTAATTTTACTGTGAATTATTTTTGTTTTTGTATTAAAAGCACTTTGTTTATTCAAAAAGCTACAAAATACGATTTTAAAATGTCAACACTAAAAAAAATTATAACGTGTCATCAGGAGATAAAAATGACATAAGAAAGTTATAGTGTGTTTCTAAATATTCTCTTAAGAAACAAGAGCATTAAATATCAGGCTCCTTAGTAGCTTGAATTCATATCTTTGTCGAAAACTATAAAAAGTTAAAGATCAGTGGAAGAGTTTATAGTTAAGCTCAGAGATTTTGACAAAACTCATATATACTAGAGTTTTGTCAAAATATAATAGATTATATAATGATGCTTAACCCTTTGAGCACGGGGAGGCACGATCGTGGATATACCGTCAGAGCACGTAGAACCACAATCGTGGCTTTAAAAGTGCTCATCAGAACTATGACTTTTTCTACAGAAATATCGCGGCAAAAAATGGTCCCATTGAATAGATCACATTTTTTTCTATCTTTTGGTATATTTTTTGTGTATACTTGTATTAAAGATGAGTGTCAGCGAAGTAAGTTTTACTGAAGAAGAAAGTTGTACAAGCGAAGAATATTTAAGTAGCATTGATGATTTAAGCAGTTTATTTGATGAAGGCACAATATTTTTTATTGAAAAATTTTATACAAAATTATTTAATTTAAATATATAACCAAATCTAAGCATTTGAAGTTTTTATTTTTATGTAGACTCCGGTTCTGATGATGATGCTGGTGTTGATGATGTTTTAGATTTGTGGCTTCCTGTTGTAGGAGATGACAACGGCCCTAATGTTTTTGCTTTTACTGGTGTACCAGGACCCAAACATACTATTTCACCAGAGTCAAAGCCCATTGACTATGTTGACTTATTTTTCACTATAGAGTTTTTGGAAAAGTTAATAACTTATACTAACCAGTATGCTGATGCATGGATACAAAGTAACCAATAGCATTTGAGATCTCATCCATTGTCGATAGGTCATGTATGGATAAAGCAAGAAAAAACAAATTTTTTAGAAATAATGGCATTCCTTGGTGTTGTTATCAATATGGGTCTAATCAAAAAAGCTAGTATTAAACTATATTGGGATATTAGTCATCCTTGTGCTTCCATTCCCTGGTTTGTTACTCACTTCAATCGTGAGCGTTTTCAACTTTTACTTAAATTTATTCACTTTACTGATATCTCTATCCCTAATCAACAGCAAATAAATAAGATTTATAAAGTTCAGTATTTGATTGAACATTTTAACAAAAAATTTCTCTATTTTTATATTCCTCAAAAAGATATTTCTATAGATGAGAGCATGATTGGTTACAAAAGGAAAGACTTCTTCGCCAATATATGCCAAACAAGCATCATTTTTGGTTTGGAATAAAGTTATAGTGTGTTTCAGACAGCGCCAATGGGCATTTATTTTAGTTTGAAATTCACAAAGGAGGAAAAAATCTAGATGAAGCAGCTGCTGCCCACGGTATGACTTACAACTTGGTTTTTCGTCTTTTGCGTCAAGCAAACCTTCTCCATCAAAGTTATCACTTAGGTATTGATAACTATTACACTTCTCCACAACTGCTATTGGATCTATATCTACATCAAACCACAGTAACAGGAACAGTGAGAGTAAACAGAAAAGGTCTGCTAGATTGTTATTGGATCTGTATCTACATCAAACCACAGCAACAGGAACAGTGAGAGTAAACTGAAAAGATCTGCCTTAAAACAAAATCAAAAAACAAAGAAGTTTGCCAATATAGAAAAGGTCCTTTGTTATGTGTGGCATATCAATAAGGTAAAAAAAAAACCTGTATTACTGTCTACTGTTGCCAAAGCAGGTTTTACTGAATTGCGCAACAGAAGAGGTAATTTAGTTATGAAGCTAAACGTTGTTGCCCTTTATAATCAAACCATGGGAGCTTTTAAAATTTCGAAAAACTACAAAAAAAAAAACTAAAATTCAAAATAGTTGTTTTCGATTTTATTTTATTTTTAGTTCAGTTTCTCCGTACGGCATTTAAGTTTTATTACGCGCTCAAAGGGTTAATACCATTCAACATTTTGAATGGTATAAAGCATCATTATATAATATATTGTATTATAAAATGTTTTATATAATAGATGTTGATTAATAGATGACATTCAGCACACTCGTGTTTTAAAGGTATCAGGGTCCCTCATCTTTTTTTCCCAGAACATAGAACAAACTATATATCTTATACTGTTAATTATGTTTTCTGGCTGCGAAGTACTTTAGAAACCACTCCAATTTTTTAAACGTTTTTTTTTAATTATTAAAATTATTGTTTTTAACCCTTTGAGCGCTCGATAAAATTTGAACGCCGTTCAGAAAAATTCAACTAAAAAAATATCGGCAAAAAAAATCGCCAATAAACGTAACAAAAAAACAAACAAACAAAAAAACAACTATTTTTGAACTTTTTTATTTTTTTGTAGGTTATATAAGTTTAAAAGAAGTTTAATGATTTTAATGCACAACTGTTGTGTGATAATTGGAAAAACAGGCTGGACACAGTCCAACACCACATAACTGACACTGCCAACTTGTGCGGACTCGAGATTGGTGCCCAGCTACACATTTTATTTTTTTTCCTGCACCAACCTTAACAAGATTGTGACCATATAATGGATTGCTACTTGCAGTGTGTTGGGGAAGTGGATATGGGACAATTGTACTTCTAGCCACTTCAATCTCTCTCTAGATGTTCTTCTTTTAGAAATTACTTTTACTGGAAAATAACCTCCGGCTAAACTTTCCACTATAGGCATCATAAAATCTATTCTTGACATTGGCTTTTGTTCATTTGTATTGAGCTTATACAATAACTAGCTATTTAAAATTGCTCTACGAAATAAAGAAAAAGCAACTTTAGTAGTCCACTTTATTGTTCTACGCTCAGACAAGTACACATAGAGCTGTGCATCACCCAAATCTACACCCCCACCCCCATGGTTTTATTGTAAAGGGCAACAACATTTGGTTTCATAACTATATTTCCTCTTCTGTTACGCATTTCAGTAAAACCTGCTTTGGCAACAGTAGATAATAATATAGGCTTTTTTTACCATCTTGGTATGCCACACACAACAAGGGACCTTTTCTATATTGGCATACCTCCTTATTTTTTAATTTCGATTTAATGCAGGTTTCTGGTAGGCCTTTCCTGTTGACTCTTACTGTGCCTGTTGCAGTGGTCTGATGAGCATAAAGATCTAATAACAGTTGAGGAGAAGTATAATAATTGTCAATACCTAAGTGATGACCTTGGTGGAGGAAATTAGTTTGGCGCAAAAGACGAAAAACTAAACTATAAGTCATACCATAGGCAATGGCTGCTACATCTGGGTCTTTTCCTCCCTTGTAAATTTCAAATTGACACAAATAACCGTTAGTGATGTCTGAAACACACCATAACTTAATCCCAAACCTAGAATGACGTTTGTTTGGCATATATTGACGCAGATGTGGTGTCTTTCCCTTGTAGCCAACCATACTCTTATCTATAGAAATGTCTTTTTGTGGATAATAATGATATAGAAATTTGTTATTAAAATGTTCAACTAAAAACTGAATTTTATAAATTTTATTGAATGGTTGTTGATTTGGTATATGGATGTCTGTAAAATGAAGAAATTTAAGCAAAAGTTGAAATCGGTCACGATTGAAGTGGGTAACAAACCAGGGAGTAGATGCACAAGGATGACTTATATCCCAGTAAAGTTTAAGATTAGCTTTTTTGATGAGACCCATGTTGATTACTACTCCAAGGAAAGCTCTTATCTCTAAAAGATTGGTCTTTTCTTGTTTAATCCATCCATGACCTCTTGATGTTGGATGGGATCTCAAATGTTGTTGATTGTTTTGAATCCACGTTTCAGCATAATTATTAGTAAAATTTACTATATTTTGCAAAAATTCAGTTGTAAAAAACAAGTCCATATATTCAATAGGCTTAGACTCAGGTGAAATTGAGTGCTTGGGTCCTGATTCACCAGTAAAGTGAACAACATTAGGACCATTTTCATCTTCTAGAACAAATAACCAATCGTCTAAAACATTACCACCAACATCACCTACATCAACATCGCCATCAGAACTGAAGTCTACATAAAAATTAAAATAAAAACTTCAAATTATCATACTAGGTGATATATTTATATTAAATAATATTGTTTACAATTTTTTAATTAAAGTTATCGTGCCTTCATCAAACAAACTGTCATCGCTGGAACTTAAAAATTCTTCGCTGGTACAACTCTCGTCATCCATACAACTTTCTTCACTGTCGCTCATTTTCAAAACCAAATATATAAAAACAATATACCAAAAGATAGAGAAAAATGTGCTCTATTCAATGCTATCATTTTTAATGAACAATCAGCGGTATTTTGCTATAAAAAGTCATAGTTTCTAAGACCACTTTTAAAGCCACGATCGTGGCTCTTCGCGCTCTAACGGTATAGCCACGATCGTGGCTCGTCGCGCTTAAAGGGTTAACAGGTTGGATACTAACTTGATTAAGGAGGCTGTACTCTTATGGAGCTTACTGGCCGTAATAGTGCTGAAATTATAATAAATACAATTACATATGACCCATATAACTCCAAAAAAATTTAAATTAATTATTAGTTTTATTAAAATCTTTTATAAGTACTTTTTTTATGAGTTGTTATTCAAATCTAAATTATTTTGTTTGCAGAATTTGTAACGAGGAACGCGCTTCGAAGTTGAATCTAAGGGGTTTGCCTTACTGTATCATGCCTAAGATGGCTATTGTTTCAAACGTGCTAAAGCCTTTAAAAACACTGGGCTTCACCAAGAAATATCTTCAGACATAATATGATATAGTTGATATAATATATTATATTACAATTATATATATATATATATATATATATATATATATATATATATATATATATATATATATATATATATATATATATATATATATATATATATATATATATATATATATATATATATATATATATATATATATATATATAGGGTATATGGGGGGTGTGGGGGGTGGTGGGGGAGGGGTTAGACAGGACCTCCTTCTTCATCTAATCGAGGGTCTAAGATATGGAATAGCTTTAAAAATTTGATATACAAATCTTTTTGATAAACCTTTTTGTTAAACTTAATTTCTTGCATTATGTTTTATTTTTAATATATCTTAACATATATTTATAGGAGTTTAGTCTATTTTATTGTCTTTTACTCTAAATATATAATAGAGATGCTTATTTTAACCTAGTTTTATATAAGTTTTACAGCAATTTTATTTTACTTTACTCGTGTCAAAAATTTAAAATTTAAAATTAAATTAAGTTAAATTTAAATTAAATTTAATTTAATTTAACTTAATTTAAAAACTTTATTTTTTGTTGATGGTTACAATAGTTTTAACAAGAATAAAACTAATTAAAATCAACACATTTAACAATTATAGACAATACACACTCACATGAAAGTCGTTAATAAAAGAAAAAAAAATGTCCAAATATATATAGTCAATTTACAATTCAATTTTTAAAAAGTATTTAAAAACAAAAAGTAAACTACAATTTACAAAATTATGATATAAATTCCAAATAATATTAAAATATTTAAATTACAACCGTTTTATTAAAGAAAAATGAGTCAATTTTGTATTATAATATCAGGATAAATAAAAATAGTAATTAAAGACGACAGATTTTACAATAACAATTTTTTGCATATCAATTTTTGATATGTTTTTTGAACATATCAAAAATTGTTATCTAGAGTGTTTCATAACGAGTTGGCTCTAAATAAAGTACAACATGTATCCTTATATTTAGAGCCATTTGAAGGAAGAATCATTTTTTTGCTACAACGAAGATTAAAAGGAAGGTTTTTTGTATTGAATAAATCCTTCATAAACCCTGGATTTAGACAATTAATTGATTTAAAAACTTCTATCATAAGAAAGCGCAAATTTGCAAAGTGGATCCTTGGACTATTATCAAAACTTAACAATTCATCAAGAGATAAGTCAAACCTTTTATGGACAATACAAAGAGCTTTTTTATGAATTCTATTTATAAGGTTGTCATAGTATTTAGAAAAAAACATTCAAACTTGAGGACAATAAAAAAAATTTGACATTATGAAGGCGTTAAACAACAAGGTTTGTTACGGGATAAAAAATTTCTTATGCGTGAAAGAGCAAAACATTTACCATTAGCTTTACTGTATAAGTATTTAATGTGTTTTCCAAAATTTAGATTCTTATCAATTGTAACAACAAGTAAATTGTAACATCAGAGGAAAAAACTCTCATATTACCTATTTTTAGGTATTGATTTGTTTTGTTTTTAAACCAAGTAAAAGTAATTGGAATTTATCAGGTTTGGCAACCAACGAGTTCAATTTAAACGAGGCAATGTTATTAGTTGCTTCTTTTTGCAATTGAAAAATAACCTTTTCTGAGCTGTAATCACATCCATACAGCGTATTATCATCTGCAAAATTGCACAATTAAGTATCTTTAATAAATAAGAATATACTATTTATAAAGATATTAAAAAGAATGGGGCCAAAAATGGAACCTTGAGGCACTTCCGATAAAATATCGACCCAATTAGAAACAGAAGATCCTATCCTTACCCTTTGATCACGACCACAAATATACGATATAAGAAATTTAAGGCTTTCTTTAGAGAAACCATATGCTTCTAATTTAGAAATAAGTAGGTCATGCGAAATGAAATCATATGCTTTAGATAGATCCATTAATAATTTTCCAACAATACCTTCATTGTTAATGCATTCATGCCACTCATTAAGTAAAAAAATAAGTGCATGCTGAGTACTATAACACAAACATTTTTCTTAAGATACGGTAAAACATCCGCCATTTTTAGAAATGACGGAAATGCTCCATAAAGATGCTATTATTGATACAATTTGTAAGACTTTCCCTAAAGAGTATTAAATAAGATTTTAAAATTAACGTTGGTATTTTACCACTTGTTTTTTTTTATTATTATTATTAATAGACCCTAAAATTTTTGTAATATCATCAGGTGTAATACACCTGATGATATTACTTGAACTTGAAATTACGTGCATTCGTTTTGAATTTTTAATGTTTCTTATACTAGGATGGTCAACATACTTTTGAATAGCTGACTCAACTGGGTCTGAAGTGCAAGAAGGAAAAAACCATTTAATATGATCCGCCATACTTGATGGCAATGCAATATTTATGAAATAGTTATTAAAAATATTAGTCAACAAAGAACTGTGAGATAATGTTGCGATTTTCATTCAGATTGATACGCTCGCTAGAATTTGTAGATTTTTCCGAAAGAAAAGGTTTATTCAGCTTCCAGAGAGATGTATTTGAAGTCAAAAGTGTATTGATTTGCTCAAAGTACTTCTTCTTATTTTTTCGGTTTAGCTTAACTACCAAATTCCTTTGTTTTTTGTTTATTAGAGATGAAAAATCTGATTTATCAACTAAAAGTTTTTTATATAATGAAGAGCGGAGCATAATTGCTTTTCATAAGTCTTTAGTTATAAAAGGTTTATTGTTAACTCTTAAGATTTTTGATTTAAGAGGGGAATGAATATTAATCAATTCCATATCTCATTAAAAGTGCTAATATCATAACATGATTTTAAGTTAAAACGAAGTATTTTTGCAAAAATCTCACTTGAGAAGTTTTTGAACAATCTATATATAAGTTTTTTAGGTGGTAACTTACAAAAAGTAGATCTTAGCATGGTGTATATTAAATGGTGATGATCACTCGCACCTGTACCAAAGGTATTTGAATGTTGGAAACTCAGCTTTCTGACATAACAGACATAAGTATAAGTGTATAAATATTTGGAGTTTCCTCCATGTCTGGAAGTTAGTTGTCTTAAGTAACAGTAAAAGCTGGATCCGCCCCTGTATATATATATAAATATAAAATATATTGGGACATCAAATTGATCTGAAAGATAAAACTTGTAATCATTGTCGAAGTAAATAACGTTTATAATTTATCCAGGTTAAAAGCATATATGTTTTTGTCTGTAATATTTTTATAATTATAATTTAATTATATTCTGTAAAACTAAATTCATAAATAATTTCATGTTATAAAGCATGTTAAAAGCAAGTTTAATTGCTCTAAATAATAATTGTTTGAAGCAGTTTCCAAATCCAAACAGATGCACAACAAAGATTTGGGGCATTTTTTGCAAAACAGATATTGCATGTTACATTTGCAAATGCCTATCTAACTCCATATTCAGAGGTGGGTAAGAGAAAACGCGCAATAGACAAAATGTTTAAAAGTTAATGAAAATATTTTTTAATTGCTTTAAGTAAATGCAAAGACATAAATTTATACATACCCAGTTGACAGTAATTATATCCTTTAGGAAAACACTCTTCAAAAAGTTCTATTTCAAAAGACTTTTTTTCTTGCTTCTTGTATAATTTCATTTGCAATTTTTTCTCCACCTTTTGACAAACGTTTTGGAAATATTACAACCAATGTTTTGTTGACAGTTTTTTTACATTCATTAATGCAATTTTTTCTCTTGAAGGGCTTTTTTAATTTGACTCTGAACATATTCACATAATGCAGGTAATAGTATTAATTTATGAGAACCAAGATAATGCTGTTGGTACATTACATCATTAAGAATAGCACCAGCCATAATGACATCAGGATTATATCGTACAGCATTATACAATTCTTTTTGTAACTCAATCATATCTTCGTATGACGTTCCTAAGTGTCCATCAAATCTATAATTACTGTTTATTACAATTTTTTTATTAAATGGAGCAAATATTAAACAATGCCATACATCAAATCCACACACAATGATATCAGCTTCATTTAATTCAGAATCATTTTTGTAGGCATTCCAAAACAATTCTTGCGTTAACTTTAAATGCTCTTTAGAATAACCATGAATAAGGTTATTCTGTAGTCTATTATATTGTGCGGTAACACTTCCTTATTGACAGCTGCATATCCTAAATGTACACCGACGCCTAAAACAACAATTGATTTTCTAAATTCTTTTTTAGTTTCCATCTTTAAAAGTTTAAATAAACAATTTACATTTTGTGGAAAAGAACTGCAACGTTGTTTTTATTAAAAGTGAAAGTATTTTTCCAGCATATTTTTGTTAAATACTTTTTGGTAAGTTCTAAAGTTTTTAACCTCTTAAAGAGATTTTCATTTTTTTGTCGAAGATCGTTTTATTAGTATATAAAAAGTTTAATCGAACTTAAATAAAATACGCAAATT